TTGGATGTCAAAAAAAAAAAAAAAAACGAATGCGTTCAAGGACACAAATATTGCTTTATCTGTCAGCACCCTTAGGCGGGTTAAACTTTTGCCTTTTGAGACGGTGGGCTTGCAGGAGGCGTTAAAAGTAAATAGCTGCAAATGTGTATTTTTCCTTACAATGTTGCGGCTATGCTTCGCCAAAAACTTCTTGAATGAGAATACTTATATGCGACTATTAAAAGAACCATTTGGAATTGTGTGAATAAGAATAATTTATAAGAAATGAATATTTTGAAAATAAAAAAATTTAAAAATATTTTCGAAATAATCGTCTAATAATATTGTTTAAAAACAATTTTTTTCATCCCTTTGAATATATGTAATTATAATAATATAATAGGCTCTTTGTAACCGCTGATGCGATCTTCGTCAAGCTCCTCCTCCAATTTTGGGTTTTTTTTTTGTGTCTTTACGTTTTTCCAACAAACTTACAATTTATACTAAGCCGCCTCCAAACGGCTGATGGTTTTTTATGAGAATTTTTACTTAATGTTCGAAATACAGGGGCGGCCACAATTAGAAAATTTAGCTTAATTTTTTATTTAACTTAATTTTCTATAACTTTTGGATGTTGGTCGCACGGGGATTTGAACCCCAGCAGAATGGCAGTACGCAATGTTAGCCACTCGGCTACCGAGGCCGCCTATTTGAATACGAACATATCACAATTTTAGAAATTGAAATTCTTAAACAAAATCTTAAAATCAATGCTTTCCTATTTTGCAGGCAGCTAGTGTAAGTAATGTCAAGCTGCCAATACGACTATTTCTATATAAATGTCAAACGTCAAAGTCTTTATTTACTCTATGACCTATTACAATTCCCTTACAGTCAATCGACAGATGACTTCATTTCGTGGTGCCATTTCTTGATGACTTGTGTAAATATTTGCAATATCAACGGCGTTAAAAATAACCAACCCTCTAGGAAATTGTGTAAGGCACGAACAGTGCAGTGTAGATGTAATGCAAATCGAATCTCAAGAACCATCAGCAGAAGCAAGCTCCATCATGTATTCGTGTGTATTTGTTGTGTCGGAAATCGAATGCGACTTGTTCGACTTGAGGTGGAAGTTTCAACTTCGGTCGCCTTTTAAACTATCAAGCATTTTGATTCTTTAATGAACTTCAGTAGACCTATCAATTTGAGGACAGCTATCATCCATAGACCATCCAGCAGTAGGGTTGCAAAATTACGAATCTTCGTCCTTCTCAAAGCAGGACAGTCGCATAAGAGATGGGTGATCCTTTTCTCCTCTTCATCCTCCTGAAGCTTCTGCAGCATCTTCTGTAGGGAGCCCCTTGTCTTTCCGTATGTCGTTCATCAGACAGAAGCCTATACGAACTCCTATTACTTTGGAGATGTCACCTCTATTTAAGGAGTGATCTCTTCTTTTCCCATTTCAGACATTCCTTGAGAAGTAGTTTACGTGTAGCAAAAGTCATACCAATGCGTTTTTTATGGAAGGATCCATGTGATAGACAGTCTGTTCTATTTGGCCATCTCCTATGGAGAACGGCGACAGTTCAGAACCAATTTGGAGCTTAGCGTAAGCGAGCCCAGTGCTTTTTTTTTGCGGCCTGACCATTGCTGAAAATTAAGATATCCTTTCAGGTAGCCTGAAAGAGAGTTTCATACAAGTTCCATCTACCTATTCTTCCATGCTGGGAAGAACTATATCCAGTATTGATTTACTAGACTCTCTTAGATGAAGCGCAGTTATTGCTGCTGACTGATATAAAATCAAGTATAGTGGCAAAATATTGAGTATTACATTTATCGTCTCACTTGGCGTACTTCTTGAATCAAATCTATGAATTTAGCATTTGAAGCTATATATTTTTAGCTGGCCATCACACGATAGCCCCGTAAAGGAGCGTTGGTCTTACTACTGAGATGTAGATCCATCGGCAAATCCTGAAGCTTAGACCCCAATTTTCACCTATTTCTCTTTTACATATATATACGGCAGTAGCAGCCTTCTCATATCCTAAGAAAATACTATCTTTCAAGATAAGCTTTCCGTCTGAGATGCTTCTGGAAATGTAGCTTTGTAGTACTGGTGGGTTGATAGCGCAGGTCTTGAATCTCCTTGTAAATATTTAGTACTAGCTCTACTGTGTTTGAGTTGGCACAGAGACGATACCTTTTAGTGTTTCCTGCATCATGTCACGGAGGGTTTGTGGAAACTTTCTTCTGTATGCGTTTGATAAGATGTTATTAAAAGCCCCCTCCTTATTGTGGAGAGGCTTTCAATAAGGGAAATCTGTTCGTATATCGTAGTTGCTGTCGATTTTCCTTTCGGGGCGTGTTGATCATTTGGCAGTATAAAGAGTTATGGCCAGAAGTCTTAGTGCTACTATGAGTGCTTGCTTTGGGGATGAAGAAGACTGATACCCATCTCCATGTCAGTGCTATGTGGTTAAATTTTGAACAGGCCACGTAAGCTGTTCTGAGCCATCCAAGCTATTCTGTAGCTGTGTAGGGATGATACCGTCCGGTCCAAGTACCTTATATGGGCCGAAGATTTTTATTGTATTTATTTATAGATCGATAGCCCTTGACCAATGAGCAGATGGAGCCCGGGTGTTGTTCTCTTTTTTTTAATAAAACCTACCGAATTTGGAGATTTGGACATAACAGTCCTGAGTCCTGCGGGTTCCGTTCTTCCCTCAATATCACTGAAAAAATCCCTCCAGGAAGATCTTTTTGCCATCCTTCGTCCATTACTGGTTGACTTAGATAAGCTGGAAAACTACTCTTCGCTCTGGGAAGTTGATCAGAGATCCTCCTATTTGAAAAAATCATTTTCACCGGTACCTAGATTAACAGAAATACTACTTCCCTCTCCGAATTCTGGACCATAAACTGATCTATTTGAACAAATTTACTTATTTATGATTCGGTTAGGTTAAATTAATGGAATACTTGTGTTTTCTGAAAATGAAACAGTTCGATTTGTTCGAAATATACTTCCAAAATCGCCGAAATTGAATCGAAATAAAAAGACATTAATATTTAGCACCTGGCTCCAAAGGTTGAACCATTTGCTGCTGGGAAGCTTTAGATACAAACAAACATATACATGTAGTACACTGCTATATTTTTGTTTATAAACCATGAATGCTCGCTGGCTAAATAGCGCTTTTCAGAGGGATAAAGCGAGAATTTGTCTGAAAACTCAAATGTCCCATGGCAGATAAGAAGAATTGAAATTTTTCTCAAGCGGAGGGGTTTTTGTGTCAATGACGTTGAGCATGATACCACAAGTACGCTAGTCAATCGACAGCCATTTGGGTATTGCGCCTAAATTCCATTTAATATCCAATTTGACCAATTCGTGGGGGTGTTAACAGATGTACGCACAACCCGTAGTAGGTGCTCTTTTAGTTATTTGTAGATAACGGAGACTCACCAAAGAACAAAATTGGTTTGGCTAAGTGAATGGAAGTTATCAAATAAGGGAATGTGATAAAGGAAGTGCGCAGCAGACAACGAATTTTCATCCAAGCAATAAAGATGATAAGTGAAATTGAACGTTTTGTGCGGTAAGTGGCAAATTACTTCTTTTAATTGTTTGCTATAAATGACGAAGTAGTTTTAGTAGCACACATGACTACTACGTAAGTAAAACAAGCGAAAAATTCTTTAGTAAATAGAGCTTTTCAGCTACTCGGGGATAAAGCAAGAAGCCTTGAGAAGGGAAAGAGAAAAACCTGAACATATATACATATGTATATATTTGCCGTATTTTTCTGCCCATTTTGTTCAAACGATTAGGTTAAGCTGTTAAGCTGCACTGGCTGAATGCTAACTGGCTAAATGCGAGGCTATGCATAATATCTTTCCTCAATAATGATGTTCATCTTAGTCGATGTGAAGTAGTCATCATATAGGATTAACCCCAAGACTTCTTGCAATCCTTCTTCCTGTTCTTTCGTCATATTCATGACGATGCTGTGCGTTGGGTCTTGGACAAACCACGCGGAAACCAATTCCAATGAAAATATTTAGAATACATAAGATGAGCATTTCGATGAACTTCCGGGAAGAGCAAAGAAGGTATGTCTAGTATAAGCGAGCAGATCCATTGATCGACTTCGCCGATGTCCAATTATGTTAACCTATACTGGATTCTGGAAAATTAATTTAAATGGCGGTCGTGGTAGCCGATTGGTTAGGATTGCGTATAGCAATTCGGAAGACTCGGGTTCAAATCCTGGTGTCGGACTAATATCCAAAAAGTTATAGAAAGTTAATTTATATAAAAATTTAGCCAAATTTTCTAATTACGGTGCCCCTCGGCAGGGAACGTCAACCCCTCCGAGTGTATTTCTGGTATGAAATAAAGCTCCTCATAAAAAAAGCATCAGCCGTTCGGAGGCGGTTTAGTATAAACTGTAGGTTCCTCCATTTGTTGGAAAAACATCAAAATGTAAACCCACAAAATGGAGGAGGAGCTCGTTCGTTCGAATAACAGTTTATTGAATAGTTTAACCGGCAAGCCAATGAAAGATTTAATGAACATATTGAATATTCCAGGTAAGAGGCGAAAAAAATTGAGCTAGATGAAGAGACACAATAGTTTTCATGTACTCTCAAAACTTGGCATATTACTGCCTAAAAGTTCACAAAGAAACAAGTCGGACTTTCGTATAAAAGACATTTTTACCTTACAGTTATCCAGCAACAAGATATTTGGTTTTGCCCTTCCTTTCGTCAAATATATACATCCTTACTTTTTTCAATTAAATTCTTTTTTTTAAAGAACCCACACATAGAGTGTCCTTGCTTAACTTCCTCCAACAATGTGTGACCGCCCTGAAGTCCACTAATTAACTCCTAATAGAGTTGTAGTCCACTGAATAGATTCATATTTTAATAAAGCCACACCCTCTTTAAGCAATTAACTTCCACAATTACACTGTCTACGTTCTACTTGATGCTATGCAACTCACCTGCTAAGTAGCGATCACTTTGCGACCGTGAATAGCGCAGCGTCTATAAATAGAGAGAAAAATTATGTAGAGTTGGTCTATTAGCTATTCATCTTCTGTTAAACCAATTTTAATTAACTTCACTATTGTTTCCAACTCACCAACTTTTGACCGGCAAAATCATCACGTCGAGTCTTCTCCTGCTTCAACAGCAATGGTGCCGAGTTCGATTTGGTGGTTAGCTCTTGTATGCCCAGACTTTCGTGTCCACTGTGCAGTGATGCGCTGCTCGGCGAGGGCAAGTCTGCAAAGTTCGACGGCGAGAGCAAGCACTGGAACGGTTCTTGACGTAATGCCAGCGAGAGCTGACCACGTTCTCGTCCATGCCCACGTCCATGCAGATGTTGATGTAATTTACGCGTCAGCGGATGATGTTGCTGTGTATGTTGATGTTGCAGTGGTGAGTATTGATAGTAGACGGCTGGCATTGAGGATGTGTCCAACGAGTGGCTGCGACATTTCTGTGCACGACCACCACCGCTTGCCGCACCGCCGGCATAGGGCATCATAATTGGTGTGGTAGCAGCGCTAAGCTTGCGCCGTAGCACTACACTATTACTACTTAGTGTGTCGTTTGCCGATGTAGAACCACTACGGCTGCCGCCACCAGCGCTGCCGCTGGCACTACTTGCGTCGCCATCATTGCATTCGCAATCGCAATATGGACCCACCTCGAACTCATCATGGCCCTCATCATATTCGTCGGCTAAGTCCGCGACATCTACGACGCCATCATCGGCGGCTTCGGTGGCCGTCAACTCGAGCACATCATTGCAGTCCACATTATCGTTGTCATCTTGTCGCGTGCGTTGATGTGCATGCTCTGCAGGCTGACGATGACGTTGACGTGCGGCGCGTAACAGTTGCTGTTGTTGTAAATGCAGAAGCTTGCTGATTTTTAGCTTGTCAGCTGCTATGCCGCCTGTTGGTGGTCGTTGATGTGGTTGCCGTTGATGGTGTTGTTGTGGTTGATCGTCATTGTTGTCATCATGTGACTCATCGCCGCCATTCAAGGCAATGTCTTCATCGACGCCATGCGGCTCATCGCACAAACTGAGTACTTCCAAAAGGTCTGGATCGTCGGAGGAGGCTACTGAACTACTTTTCTGGAATTTCATTTTACGCAACGCATCTAAACTGCTAATCGATTCGTTGTCATTCTGTTGTGACTTCCAGTAAGAGATATCCTTCGGTGGCGTTGCCGTGCCAATGCCACTTTCATTGTTGTCATTATCGAGGCCAGAGGAGTCGAGTGAAATGCCCGACTTGCCGGAGCTCAGAACGCCAGAGGCCTCTTCGCATGCCGAGGATGAAGTGGAACTAAGAGGAGAAAAGGGAGAAGATTAATATTAGTGTTATAAACTTATTATCCGCCAATAAAGGTATATGAGCTCAATATCTGACAGTACCTCAGATTTAAACTTACCTACGTCAAAGGTGACATATACTAACTTCGAAAATATGCTTTTTAAAAAGTATATCCATAGTTACTAAGCTATGACAATATTCAGACGGCAGTATTCAATTTTCTCAAAAGAACAATTTCAAATTTTATAAAAATAATTTCTTCGGTAACTAGGTTCAATTAAATTGAAATAAATTGTGGTATTATCCCTAAATGACACTCACTCCACTAATCATCAGCGAAACATGATAGAAAAATACCATTCTAAACTCAGTTACACCTCCAACTCCATCCATTATTTTGCCGCGCCTAATATTAATTCTCAACTGAAATCTTTATTTTTGTCTGCTCTATGTGTTATGCATACATACATATACATATGTACTCACTTATTGTCTTCATCGACGGCGCCAACACTCCGCAATATTGACTCCTCAGATGTCCAGATTGTTGAGGTGGATCCTTTTTTGGTCACGTCACTGCCGTTCAACAACAAAGATGCCGTTGCGCTACTACCGCCATTACTCTTTGATGCCACTGACGCTGATGATGAGGTCAGCAATGTAGAAGGCAATAGCACGGTGTTGCCTAGTTTTGTTGTCATCGTAGTTGCGGCTGATGTTGGTGGTGTTGTCATTGTCGCATGATTAATGCGCTCCCGTTTTGGTATTGCCAACATAGCCGCCAAACCACTGCTACCATTTATATGACTACCGCCGGAGCTAAGGCCTTTATCACCGTCGACCAGCTGTTGCTGTTGCATGTAGAGTTGACTTCGGCCCGGACTCTGACTCTGACTCTGACTTTGGTTGTGGCTTTCTCTATGTGTCCAGTTTGTTGCTGCCGCGTTGTGGCGCATTGTTTCCATGTCGTTTTCCAATTGACGCTGTCGCCTATTTTTAAGTGATTCCTCATCGGTTTCTTGTTGGGCGGCGGCTACGCCGTTTAATGTTGTCATTGCTGCTGCTACTGTTACTGCTGCTGCACGTGGACGATGACCACTTGCTGTTGTCGACGTCACAGCTGCATGCCGCATTGCTACTGGTGCTGTCTCCTCGATTTTCAATATTGTCGTCGCTGTAGCTGTTGTTGTTCTTGTTGTTGTCGTTGTTGCTGTTGGTGCACTTGTCGGCTGCTCATCGTTGTCGCATTGTAAATTTGTCAGATTATGATAATGTTGATGATGCTGCTCGCCGCTTGCTGCATTAAATGTTGCTAAACTCTTGCGGTTGCCTCGGCCTTTGTCGCCATTGTAGGCCGAATGCGTTTTGTCGCTGACAAGTTCATGCAACAGTTGCTGTTGTTGTTGTTGTTGTTGCGGCTGTTGTTGTTGCTGGTAGTATGGTGTTGGTGCCGATAAAGTGCGCATATAGGCAACACTCGCCTTGGTCGGCATACAATTGCTGCTGTTGCCAGCAGAATTTTTATTGCTATTGTTGCTATTGTCGTTGTCAGCATTTATGCTATTATCGAGGCGTCCACAATCAAGGTTAAACGATTGCAGCGGAATGGTTGCCTGCGGAAGAGTTGCGAAAGGGAAAAAATTGTTATAAAATATTAAAACTGAAACTAAAAATAAAAATAAAAGAAAACAAAAACAAAAAAAAAACAAAAAACAAAAAGAACTAAGTAACTGTTGCACTAAGAACTTTGCTAGTGAACTGGAGGGCCCACCGATCACTTTCAGTTAATAATGCAAAAAGCTTCAACAACATCCAGTCGAACAATGGCTTATGACACGGTCGATTTACATATACATATACATATATGTGTATGCTTATATATATACGCATATATATGCCTGTGTGCTTGTATATGAGTATGACTGTATGGCATAAGTGCTTGTGCTTGTGACTAGGCAAGTTATTGTTACTCTCCTGCTTTGGTGGCAAGCGACAATCTTCCGTCGTCCATTTCTGGAAGGACCTTGAATTTATAATAATTCGCTCGACATACGACATACAAACATATGTGGCATGTGTGTCATGTGTGTACATATGCACGCGGCTTTTATTATACTGTTCTGTTGTTGTTTTTGTTGCCTTAACAGCAAAACGCCACAATCGTTTTCGACATATTTATGCAAATTGAAAGTCGTTTTTCGTAAAAATTCATCGAATCTTACTCACGTCTGCCCTTTGGTGCTGTTGGTCGAAACCGTGAGCTTGGCATGAGTGGGCTTTAAATAATTTTTAAGTGTATTTGACAATTGTCTGGTATTTCTGCGCGCTTGTCGTGTAGGATTTACAAAAAAAATAAAAGAATTAATAAAAGTAAATTTAAAATTTTTGTCTTGTAGCCCATGCTGATATGCATTCATTGTTACCGTTCAAGGTTAAATGATTAAATCTTGAGCAGGAAGTGAGAGGGAAAGGCGGTGGAGTATATCATATCATATCACACACAGCTATAGTTCTTCTAGCAGCAACAGGTGAATCTTAATTTATGGTTTAGTGAACTTTTTCGGCTTTGAAATGAAATAAAACTTTCTAAACTTACTAGCTCCACCTTGCAACACTTCGGAGTGGCATATACTCAATGAATCTCTGAAAATTCAAGCATTGGATACAACACGGTCATGCAAGTAAAAAGATCATCTGGTTTCCCAATCATCTGGTTTCAACCCAATTCTTTTGTTGACGTCACTAAATTACAGAAGCTATCGGGCATTGTAATCTGAATAACATGAACATCACAGTCAAGTTGAACATATAGCCATATAGCGAACATACTTACGCATGATATACGCTTACATCACCACATTACATTAATTTTTGTCAACCTTTTTGGGGGATCTCCTTCTCGTATTAATACTTAATTATATTATATATCGAACCAATCGAACTTAATTTCACGTTACATTAAAGAAAAGTACTCCATTTAGGCATATCTTTCAAAAAAACCGGGTTCCCTTCCCAGAAGAAATTAACGGAGAGATAAGTACGGAATTTCGAGAAAAAGAGCCACAATTAAGATTTTTTCTAATAGTTCCGTCCATGACCTACCATTATCTAAAGAATCAAAATTTCTAGTAAATCAAACCCGGACTAAGATTTGCTCTAACAGGTCCTGCTTCACTTCCCTACAAATTTCTGTAAGTAATCTTTTCGAAGACCTATAGAAACAATTTTACAAAATTTCAATTGAATCGATGGGCAACATTTGGAGATCTCCAAACGAGCATAAGGTACTATAAAGAGAAGAGATAGATCCATCAAAATACATACGGATTGAGCCCAAATGGCGAGTTGAGTTGATTTAGCCCTGCCGCTTATGGGAGAAGGTTCCTAAATAGTTCCCAAACCCATTTTTTCGAAAACTCCTAATGTCGACTAGTCGGATGTCGCCATTGCCCACGTTTATGCGCCGTATAGCAGGATGGGAATAATGAGGGACTTGTGGACTGTAGTTTTTATACATAGAGAGAGGATTATATTTTCAATTGCCTTCTCAGTTCATAGAAGCACCTCAGTTCATAGAAGCACAGTGATTCTGCGTTGGATTTCCTTGCTGACATCGTTGTATCAATGTCACCTGATGGCTGGTTTCGGGATGGATGAAATTAACAACCACTACCAATTTATGACTGCCAACCCCTGATGGTTTGTTTGATGACAGAATATATGTATTTCGTCCAGCAATTTAAGACCTATTCACTTCGTTTTTTATTCAGTTTGGAGAAAGTCGAACTAGCTGTGCAGCTATTAAGCTATGACTTCAGTGGCAATTGGAGTGCCGCGGATAGGTCATTTTCGATTCTGACGAGAATGCTGTTACAAAATTTGCGAAGAGAAGGGTGGTGATTCTTTTCTCACGGGTATTTGCCAAGATTTGGCGCATGCAGTAAGTCTGATGACCCACAGATAAGGTGCTATTAGTTCGCAGAGTCTGAATGCAAGAAGAGACCTTAGATTGTTTTGTCATCCTTTTTTGTATGAGGATAAAATTGTGGTTAGGTTCCAATTGCAGGAAATGTACTTAATAAATCAGGAAGTCTACCTTTGTCACGTTTCAGCAGTCAATAGCTATTCGAACTTCATCATTGAACGTCTGATTTATCGTAGGCGATTACAGCTTTGAGTCTTAAGGGTGCTTCAACCAGTTGAACCATCGAAATTAAAGCAATGGACAATCCAAGTGCTTATCTTTAACATCTATAATATTCACAGAAGTGATCATCATTGCAAGTCAGGTCTCTCATCTGTTCTGGTCGAGTATTTCCAATCCAATAGCTCATAGCCAGTACCCGATCGTATAGCGAATGTGAATATTTTTTACAAAGCCATACCAGTGGAATTAATGTGGCAGAAATTATGTCTCGAACAGCTTCGACAACATTTGAAAAATCAAAAGAATAAAAAAAAACTGTCGAAATCTTGCAATTAAATCTATAAGAGCGATCATTGATAAATCAAATGAATAATGCAAAATGTTAATAGAATTAATTTGTAAAAGATCTACTGCCACTGACAGTAAGCATAAATCTGCTATCAATTAACAAATCTTATAAATATAAATGAAGTCTAAAAAATAAATTTTTCCTTTAAATTTTATTTATTTATGCAATACAGAAGTCGTATATTTAAGTTCCGTGTACATTACAAATGCATTTAAAGCTCTTATATATGCACGATGCTGTGGGCCAAACACAGTTGCTTTTGTAATGAACCAACAACTCTACCTCTCAAGCGTCCGCATTCTGTACACATTCCATTTGCACTCACGCAGGCTGTGCCATTCCACTTCAACTTCAGTTTGAGCCATTTATGATGCACCGCCACAGTCGATCATCCATACCATATTTGGGCAACATTGTTGCAGAAATGAGCACCGACAAGATGCGCAATTGTCATAGTGGCCGTGAAGACATGATAAAAATCAAAAGTGTCTGCAATGTAATGCCATGCGTGGAATGAGAAAAAATTATCGCACACAAACACCCTTACACGGGTACGGATAAATGTAGATAAACATTGCAGCTATATTGTTAGCGATATCGCACTATCCTTATCACTATCGCTATTGTTCGCCGACGATCGGTCAGCTGCGTGGTCGTTATTGCAGCAGATGCCACTCAACTGCAATTCATTCAGAATTAAGTGGCAATCAAAGGTGTACAATTTCGTGTATGAGTATTGGCGTATACGTGTCAGCTGCAGGTTGTTAGTTGCAGTATGTGGCATGCACCGCACAGCTCTCACTGCTTGTATAGGTAGAATTTAGCCATGTTCCGACATTTCAAAGTACATATATATATATATATATATATATATATACGCATATATACACACACAGGCCTTCGCAGTCATTTGCTGCGTCTTGATTGTATTTAACAGTACAAATAAATCATTGAAATCAATTTCCGTTGCAAGTTTTTCTCCACATTATTTTAAATAAATTCGCGACTTGTCGCTGTGTCGCTTACGATTTTATTTCCTCCGTCTTCTTTCTGCAACATTTCTGGTGCAGCCAAGAAATTGTCAATTGCTTGCAATGTAAATACAATTGACATAACGAACTTACAATGCTAACAAGAAAAATAAACAACGAATTGGTTTACGCACAAGCCCACACTAGGGTAGTGAAAAATAAATGAAAATAATAATAAAGTAAAATAAAATAGCAATAAAAGAAATAAATTAAAAGGGCAGAAACAAATATTGATAAAAACGAAAAAATTTATTTAAAAAATAAAATTTAAATAAAATAAAGTAAATTAAAATAAAGCAAAAGAAAATAAAAGATATATTTATTAAAACAAAATAAACTAACTCAAAAATATTAAACTAAACCTAGTAAAAGTAAAATAAAATAAAATAAACTAAATTTAACTAAAATGAAACAAAATAAAATGAGATAAAATCAATTAAAAAAAAATTAAATAAAATAAAAAAAAAATTAAATAAAATGACATAAAATAAAAGAAAATAAAACAAAGTAAAGTACAATAAAATAAAATAAAACTAAATAAAATGGAATAAAATAAAATGAGATAAAATCAATTAAAATAAAATAAAAAAGATAAAATTAAATTAAATAAAAAAAAAATAAAGTAAAGCGCATTTAATAGTTGTTGGTTAATAATAAATTGAATAACACAACAATAGATTACATGGCGCCTGTTGAGTCAGGATCCGATGGTTCGGTCCCTGCCATAACAGGTCTGGTTATTAGATGTGGTCTACCATTTTCCTTTGTTGTATAACAAAATATTCAATTCATACAACCAAATCAGGCCTTTGGTTTACTAAATACTTATAACAAATAAAGTAAAATTAACTTAAATTATATAATAAAATTGAATTAAATGTAATAAAATTAAGTAAAATAAACTAAGGTAAACTGAAATAAAATAAAATAAATAAAGTCAAATGAAATAAAAAAACTAAAATTAGCTTAAATAAAGTAAAATATAATAAAATACATAATATAATTGCTATTTTATTTTATATTATTTAATTTTATTTTTTTATTTTGTTTAATTTAACCTTATTTTTAGTGTATATATATATATAT